AGTGTTCGAAAGGTTAATAATTGTGATAATTTCCGCAAACACTTTGCATAAAATTTTAGAGTAATAAGAGATTTTATTTATGACCAAAATGACAATATATTTGGTGATGATAAATGGAGTTCAGTCAATCCACATAACTTCTCATTAAGCTGTCAATGTGTAATTTCGTAAGGCGAATAATATTTGAAATATTTGGTTGAACTTTAGAAGATCGAAGAGATTTGTAAAATGCTTTCGGGAATGTGTGACTTGAGAGACAAGATTTATAAAAATCAAATTTCACCTTTTCAGATGCTACTTTACACTTTAGGTTAAAAGTCCATCTAACCGTTTGATAGTGCATGGAGGGAGTCTTCTTTTCAAAAATTTAAAACAATTAGTACATTTTATAAATTTTGATAGCGTTATTAGAAGACGGAGACTATCTAATACATCACGTTTTTCAGATAGTCTCCGTCTTCTAATAACGCTATCAAAATTTATAAAGGCAACTTATTGTTTTAAGCCGGAATTTACAAAATTTCAGAATGTATATATATATATAACAAAGAGTTACGTCAAGTTAAATGGACTTATTGAGAGTCAAAATAACAATGAAGATCACTAAACCAAATAAGAAAAGTAAGAGTACATCTGTTATGGTATCAAAACAAAGTTTACGAAATTGATCATCGTTCGTCAGTCTGGCATCATGTTTCTTTGTCAAGTTGGTCAATTAATAAAGATAACAATAGCAAGTGTAGATTGTTGGATATGATCAGTGTGTAAAATTATAAAAGTAGTGCGTGTTCACATGATGAACTTGCTTATCACATTCGTGTTGATTTGGTCACTTCATGTAGGCGAGCGGTGTTGTAACCAGGTCAGATTCTGTTTGAGTCCATCATTCCTATTCAGACAATTTGGATTCCACTTGATATGAAGTGCTTCTGATGGTATTAGACGTTCTTTGTGATTCCTGAAGTTTTTCTGGATTATTTCAATATTGTCGAAATCAATTTTGTGGCCTGATTCTATAGCATGTAGACCTATGGCTGATGATTTTTCACGCTTTTCTAGTTCAACTGGATTTCTCTATGGTCGAATAGATGCTGCTCTATGGTGTTCATTTCTTCTGATTTTGATTTCTCACTAGCGATGTTTGTCCGATTTATATCGCATCACATTCCAAGCAGGTATTTTATTTATAGACACAATTAAATAGTGAATCTTTAGGGATTTAGTCATTTATTATAGAAAAGGTTGCTCTGCAGTGTATGTTTGAAGGAAACTCTGATGCCGAGCTTATTGAGTTTTCTTCGGATATCGTCTGATATCTTTGACCTATATGAAATGACAACTGTTGAGGCCCATGTTTCTGGGATACATTTTCGACCATACTTAATGTCTGTGTTGATTTTGTTGATGAAGTTCCTTGGGTAGTTGTTTTACTTGAGAATTTCAATAATGTTTGATATTTCTTCCTCTTTTTCTTGCTCATCCGTTATCAGAGAGTGTTTTCGTCTAAGAAGACTTAAAACAACTGATGCCTTTGTGCTGATGGGGAGTGATGATTTGAAGTCTAAATATTTATTGGAGTGGGTATTCCTCCTGAATATGTCCGTGTTTCCTTTCTCTTAACTAGGCAGTCTAGAAATGGTAGTTCACAAACGTCTGATTCTGCTTCCGAAGTGAACTGGACTCTGGGAGCTACACAGTTTATTTTCTCCAGGAATGAACTGTGTAGATCTCGTTTTAGCACTAAAGAAATATCATCTACATATCTTAACCATATTTTAAGAGGGAATATTCTTGAAAAGAAGTTATTTTCGAATCTATTCATGAAAAGGTCAGGGACTACTGAGGAGACTGATTAACCCATAGCAACACCATTTGTCTGTCTATATAAATTCCCTTTAAATTTAAAATAATTGCTTTCAAGACAGAATTTTAAGCTCTTAATTATTTCATTGGTGTCCAGTGGATATCTTTGTGATAGTGTTGTATCTGATTCTAGTAGACTGGAAATGATGTCAAGACTTTTGGTAATAGGGATACTAGTATATAATGAGTTAATATCATAGCTTACCATAATGTCTTCTTTATCAATTTCTCAGTGTTTTATTCGGGATTTGAAATCATATGAATTTCTTACAATATTGTGAGTGTCATTTTGTAGTGGTTGTAGTAACGAGATTAAGTACTTAGAGAAATTGTATGTCTATGAGTTGATGAAATCTATTACTAGTCTTAATGGAACTGTGGGTTTACGTATTTTTGGTTGACAGTGGAATCTTGAAGGTACATAAGATTTTAGATTTAGTTTAAACCAGAGAGAATTTTCAATTGTGGGTTCCATTTCTTGAAGGAGTCTGTTGGTATTTACTTTCATTTTGTTGAATTCGGCGGATTTCTTCTTCACTTCAATGACTAAGAATGGTCGTTCAGATAAATATTCAGTCGCCTTCCTTTCATGATCCGTTCTCTTCATTATCACAGTGACGTTTCCCTTGTCGGCTTTCGTTATAACGATGCTTTTGTCTTTCTTCAAATTTCTTATTATTTAATATTATTATTAAACATAAATCATTGCCGCGCGAAATCCAGGTCTTATAGGTTCTTCACGTCGGTCTAGGATATCCCTCCCTGTTTTCTCGTTTCCCACTGTCTGGCGCGTAATCCAGTCAATCCACCACAATTAGGAATATCATTGGTGATAATAAGAAAACACCCTTGCCTGACTCCTGTGTTTACTCCAAACGCCTCGCTGAGTTTTCCGTTGTGGATCACTTGACATGTTCCCTTGTCGTACAGCTAGCTGTTGAATAAGGTTGATGAATATTTGGGCACTGCATGCCGTAGTACTCGAGTAATTTCCAAATTACTTCACGGTCAACGACGTCTGTCGAAGGCCTTCTCATAGTCTATAAAGTTGAGGTAGAGTAAGGTTTGATTGCCATTCCATGCTTTGTTCTGTGATGATGATGCGTAGAGTTACAATTTGGTCAGAACATGATTCGCCTGACTTTCCTGAATCCAGCTTGTTCTGGTCGGAGTTCTGTCTCCAGTGCGTCTTTTATTCTCTCTAGGATGATGCGACTCAGGATTTTACTTGGCGTCGACAGGGGCATGATTCCTCACCAGTTCTAGCAGAGTCCTAAGTTGCCCTTCAACATGCATGTTAGTACTGAGTTTTAATTTATTTTCACACTAATTGACACCTGCTGGTAAATTTGTGCCTATAGTTGACTTACTCATGAGTATAATTATAATTCACTTGAGTTTCGAGTGAAACATAAGGCTTCAACAACACATCTCCACTTTGTTCTATTTTTTTATGCTGTCCTCTTCAGCTTGGCTCATGATTGGCCATAATCTCTTATCTCTTCTACGCCACGCCATCCTCGCCATGTCACCCTCGCACCGATTACCCACTCGTCGCTTCCCACTGGGATTTCACTTTAGCATTGACGTGGTGGGCGATATCATTCGACAGCCCTTTCAGAGTGTGACCAATCCATCAACATTTTATCCTACACATTTTTAGAGCAATCGGCTCGTGGCTGGTTTGTTCTCGCTGTTTCTTGTTACTTATTCTTTCTGGCCATTTGATCTTTAGTATGGAGCGAAGGCAGCTGCTGATAAAAGTCTTCAGTGGTTTGCTGGAAATTCTTTTCGTTACAAACTGGTTTGTTTAGTTTTGTCCATCAGTTTCTGAATGTTGAACTTGAATTTTTTGATCCGTCTCCAGCTTTTTTGAGGGATTTAAGCTTCACCCTGAAGGTTCCTTGAACTACATGATGGTCTGAGCCCACATCTGCTCCCCTTCTCGAATTCGTATCCAGCAGGCCGACTGCCGGATTGAAATTGAGATGAAATCTGTTTGGTTTGTGGTATGTCCGTTGGGCCAAATCCATGTTGCTGTATATATCTTTGTGTTTGTACACGCTCCCTCCGATCACCAAATCGCAGAAAGAGCAGAGTTCTGAGAATAATTCTCCGTTCTCATTCATTTCTTTGAGAAACAGCCTGTCGACCCATGATGAGTTCTCTTCCTGTATTATCAGGTCCCAGTTTGGCATTCACATCAGCCATAAGTATTTTGTAGTCACCATTTGGGATGCTATCCATTGCTGTTTGCAGTTGTCTGTAAAAGTCCTTCTTTTCTTGTTCCGCGTTGTTTGTAGCATTGGATAACTGTAACCTTCCTTCCTTCCTTTGAAGCTGAATATTACTGTCATGATCCTGGGTGAGAAGATTGGTTCCTACTGCATTAAGGGCTTTGGCTGTCACTGACAACATCATTATAGCCACTCCATCAGTGTGTTCGTGGTTGCCGACTGGTTGGCTTGAGTAGGTTACTAGCTCTCCAGTTGACAATTTGGATAATCCACATTCATTCCATCTGATTTCGCAGATACCCAGCACTTTCAAGCTGTATCTTCGCATATCTTTGGCTACCTGGGCATCCTTCCCAGCCTCGTACGTCACACGGACATTCCACATTCCCATTCGTATTCTTGCTTTCATGTAGAGAAGACATATTGGCTGACTGACTTCCCGAAGGCTTTCGCCAGCCCACTGTGTCATTTTGCCTCTCCAACTCCAGCGAAGAATAAGATCGTTCTTTGAATTTCTTATATTTTTTAATATATTTTTTGTGTGTTGAGGTTTCAGTAGCTGTTTGATAGGTTTAGTGGTATGGGGTTGCTATTCCTACACCCGACCCTCCTTCTTTACCTGGGCTTGAGACCGTCTAGAAAACTAACGAGCTAGTTAACTAGGCGATGTTCTTATTCACGGTTGACAGTCATTTATGCTCACAGATTATGCAAAATGAAGCCTTATTTTTTAATAAATTTGACTATGCGGCTAATTTGTCGTCAGATATTATTTTTCTTCCACTGGGCTGGTTGATACACACAGAATGTACATTCAAAAGGAACCATTCATGTTTGTCTTTTTGTTACTGCTAAGTCTATTCTTACGGGTTTTCATTTATTTTTTCAATTCCCTTTTAGGAAGCTGTAGGTCCGAAATCCAGAGAAACTGTCGAACAACTCAAAGTAAGTAAAAAAATATTTTAAAAATATCGACAGTTTTATGTTGCCTAGAAATTATTTATTCAGTATCTGCCATTATTAATCAACTTATATAGAAATGGGAATATTCGCAAAAGGACACAGTTGACTGGCTAATATAAACAGTTGATCATCAGCTACAGATAAAAATAGGTCAAAGTGGTTGGATCAATAAACTCTTATTGTGTTAGTGTTTTAGGAATGGCTCAACTCTGGCTTATAAGGATTGCATTAATTCGAACAGGCATGATGTTTAAGCTACTTATTGTTTTTGCTTTGCATTTTTAGTATACTACTGAAATTATATGTCTTATTCTCCTAATCTGAAGGTCTCCTATTCTCTCTCTCCAGCTGATTAGTAGGTGTGAGCTAATGGAAAGCTGCAGACTGCAAGGAAACAGCCATCCAGTTTACTCAGAATTTTTAGTGAAATATGTAGAGAAACTATCGATTTTTTATAAATATTATAAACCACCTGGGAAATGAATCACCATATATACATAGTGACACTATGCACTGTAAACATAAAGAATTCAGGTATTAGAATGTACAACAATCAAATTTATAATTTTAGGATCCAAACAGTGTTATCAATCCGGTAAGGGAATTGAATCATGGGTGTGAATGCATAAAATAATAATAATAATATTAGTATGAAATGCGGTTAAAATATTCGTGTTTATAATCATAGTTAAATGTCAAGTGGCAAAACAAACAATGTCTTTATATATATATGTAGAATAATTCATAAGATGTATAGAACTTGGACGGGGTATACGATTATAGGATTAGTAGGTAAATGGAATAAAGTAGAAATTTTTTCGATTTTTTTTTATTACTGTACGTTCCCAGTGGAACATAGGATTTCAAGTTAGAGGCTTGAAGTTTAGGTAGCAGTGGGGATTATTTTTACTGGATGCGATTGCTAGCCTCATGTCTAACCTTCCAACCTCTTTACCAGTCTTATTACTGGCTCAACGAGGTAAAGGTGTGCGTCAGTGGCCGGGGATCGAACCCTGTACCACATGAGGCGTGGTTGGCGAGCATTTTACCGGTGTGTCACCGGTGTACAAAATAATAAAATAAAAACGTCACGTAATATTGTGTCACTTGTTTTGATTTTCTATATGTTACAATGGGAATTTTCCATAAAACTTATAAAAAAAGACAAGCAAACAGTATTCACCATTCACAAATCTGCCTCATCCCAGAATGTTTATCACGCTGATTTACGAAAGATTTATACTGAGATGTTAGAAACAACTTGAAGTGAGCCAGTGACAAATTTGAATAGAGTGGATTCTTTTTTGATTTACTCACATGTCTACATTTCTCTTGGTGATACTGTGATGGAGTCTTTTTAAACGTGTGTCTAGAAGCCTAAATGGTAATATGACAAACACTATTCTGTGTGTTATCAGCCAGCATTTTCGGAAGTGAACACTCTCGGACAATGTGGAAGAATATGTGTGTTGATCATAGTACATCCGACTGCAGGATGGATATATTTTAAATAATTGTGTATTAGGAATTATGATCACATATGAAACAGCTTATCACTGGTTTTTCATACTATTCTATTTGACATAATCTAGGAATACATCCGATCTTGTCTGCATGATTTCTTTTTTTTTGATTTACAGCTTGATTCCACACTGTATTTTTGGTACAAGTATGGAATTTTCAGCATGGATATCGGTAGCCCAAATTTTGCAGGCCGACCATAGATATCAGGTGTGCGTCGGCAGGAGATCGTACCTCGGACCATGTGCATGGTCGGCGAGAGTCCTAACCACTGTGCTACCGGCGCACATTTCATTCTTATTATTCACTCATTCGTACACATTAAGTCGAAATCTATTTCTGATTGGACACCAGTCAGTAATTAGTGTAATGTGTCTAGTCCTATCTTCGGTGCAGACTGAAATCTATCAGTCAAGTTTGTATTGTCACCACCATACTAGATGGCTGGCTATTACGGTGAATTTTTAATTGTTGATATTAGATGGTTGGAGGCTATCGGCACGAAACCTTCGACCTGGGTTTCGTTCTAGTTGACACTCAACAACAAGGCGTATCTGCAACCTCGAAGGAACTCTCATGTCTCTCCTGAGATTCGAACCCGCATCACCGAGTGACTACTGCAGTCAGAGACGTTATCGCTGAGCTATTAGGCCTGGCTCTCGATTGACCTCATGTAGGACTGGACTGGACTGATAGAATTCAGTCTGCACCGAATATAGGACTAGACATGTTACACAAGTTACTGACTAGTGTTCAATCAAAAATATCCAGTACAGTCCTACAGAAGTAGCGTCTCTGTCTGCAGTAGTCACTGGATGACGCGGATTCGAATCTCAGAAGGGACATGAAAGCTCTTTCGAGGTTACAGATACGCCTTGCTGATGAGTGCCAACTAGCATGAAACCTAGGTCGAAGGTCTCTTGCCAGTAGCCTCCAACCATCTAATAACTCGAAATCTGTTTGTCACAGGCATCAAAATACGTACTTTGTTTTATACATAAAATTATGCTTTTTGGAAAGAAGCTACTATCACATTTAACCCCAGATATAAATGATTCACTAACTAATCCTTTATGAGTTATTGTCAAACAGTTTTTATTTATTTATTTATTTATTTTTGATTACAGTATGGAATTCTCAGTGTGGATATCGGTAGCCCAAGTTTCGCAGGCCGACCGTAGATATCAGGTGTGCGTCGCCGTGGGCTCGAACCCCGGACCATGTGCATGGCCGGCGAGAGTCCTAACCAACCGACACGTTCTATGTGTGTTTCGCTGGAATATCAGAAGTTTTCATAGCCTCATTGAGTAGTATAATTATTTATTTAATCATAAAAGTAGCAAACTTTTGTACAATAGTTTCTCAATCGTATCATTTTCTTAAAAAGACAATAATCCTATTACATTATCTCGCTTATTCACTAATTTTACAGTGAAAAATAACTTAAATTTAAATTTTTTGATTTTAAAGTTTCGAGAAAAAACATTAAAGGGTGATTATAATAAGATGAAAGATTAATATTTAACTGAATTTTAGATATTCCCGTCGATTGCTTGGACCGAAGTGTTCAGTCTCAGGTTGACACGTCCAGTCATTCTGCACATGCTTCGACGACATGTGGGCAAGTAATTAGAATTTATTTGGTGAATGGTGACTAGCAGTGGAATCCAGGATGCACATTTCGTCCTATTTGGCTAATGAGTCCCAAGTAGAAGAACTTGACATGTCAAACTGAGACCAAACACTTCGACCCAATCAATCGACGGAAAAATCTAAAATGCAATTAAATAATTAATATGACCCGTTGCACAAGACGCAGTGGCTCTCGTGGCCCAAGTGGTCTAGTGGCCAATGCTTTGACATTTAAAATAATGGACACCGGGTTCGAGCTTCAGTGGTGGGAACACCATCACTCACTGGAGAATGCAGGTATATCCAGGTGACGAGTCCCAAGCAGGACGAAATTGGAATCCTGGATTTCACCGCTAGTCGCCACGCATCAATTAAATGAAAGATTAATATTCCTTATATTATTATTCGGAACGGAAATTACGCCTTCAGCGGCACATCACCATTCCACACTGTCCTCTAAAGTCTCATTTAGCTGGCTCCACAATTACCCATAATCTTTCATTTCTTCAATATAAAATCTTCTCTATATCATCCTCTGATGCTCAACTCGTTATCTACTAGGGTTCCACAAGACGGTGTAACTGGAGCACGATGTCACTTAACAGTCTCTTCAGTGTGAGTGTATGTCCGACCTAACTCAATTTCCTACTACATACTTATGGGCGACAGGCTGTTAGTCGGTACGCTCCCACAGTTCTTTGTCGCTTATCCCTTTTTGTCGGGATTCTCACCTTCACAGTGAAGTGAAAACATCTGTTCATGAAAGTGTGCACCAGGATGTTGGAAATGCTACAACTCTGTGAATCATATAGTAGAGCTAACTGACCTGATAAAAATTTCGAACTTTGCTGAGTTCAGAGCGGATTTCCACAATGAGATTTCAGAGTGTTGAGAGTCTTTCTTACTTTAATGATGCTGGCTTTGAGATCCTTATCCATTCCGCTCGTACTGAGGTGGTAGATAACCTTGAACTGAAATGAAACCCTATCATAAGCGAATATCCATAAATTAGTCAACTAGGCAGTTGGTTACCGTTAAAACTGCTAAGGTTTTCTTCGCTTTCCGTTGTTAAATTTGCTATTCTATTGAAACAGAGCTCATGATTAGATTTTAAAAATACACAATTTTACAAAATATGACGGATTTATTTTTAGTTCCTCGCATTCTAAGTGGATTATATGCCTTCAAGGCTTAAATTTTCAGCACACCTGATGTTGAATTAATTGGGTGAACTTATCAGCCTCACATTGAACATTTTCTTTTTTACCAACAGAAACATCGTAAAAGATAACATACTGCCGAAAACTACATAGGTTAAACCATAATATTCGATCGAAAGACACCTAAACTTCTCTCTTTTTCATTGATATACATGAGTGAAATTGACGATTAAACATTTGAATAAAATCAATATAAGATGATATACATTCAGAAATAATAATATGAGTTTTATCAATCAAGTACAATCAGATGGGAAATAAGATGTTTCATAGTAAAATAAAGCAAATAACTTGTTAGAATGTTATAATGTGAACTGAATTGAATACATCTTAACATTATTTATTATCCTCCTCTGATTTGACTGGCAGTAACACCTTCGATATCTCTAGTATTTGCATTGATTCACTTCGATTGCATGTGTTGGGTGTAGACTCGTTGAATCAGGATCCAGTAATCAGTCTCTTTCTCCACCTACATAGATTACTTCTTAGAATTTCAACCCTCTCCCACCCACCACATTGTGTGATTGTGTGTTAGTGCATGCTGTGCAATGCGGTGTTGAGCTTTTTCCAAAACCACTTATCTTCGAGGGATCAATCATTCTAACT